GGGTACATACTCCAAATCCCTTGTTAATCGACCCCCCCCTAAAAAACCGGACCCCCTTCCAAATGCGACCTAGTATTCCAGACCCCCCTCTTCGACGGGGGGCCTTACTAAACTGGACCCGCTAAGCTCCAACCCAAAGAAAGCGCCTTAACAAACCAGACCCCCCAACAAAAAAGCCGTTATGAAAAGCGGGCCCAGGGGACGAGTAAGAAGGGATTTGGGGTAGCAGGAAGGTGTGGTGGTCTTTCTCATGTTCCCCCCCCCCCTCCGCAACTGGTCCCCCAGTGGCGTCCGGGGGGCCCCGCCCACGCGCCGGCCTGGGCTCCGCGCGCGGGGCCCCGCGCGGCCGCGGGGGGGTACGGTGGACAGCCGACGCTGCTGCTGCAAGAGATAGCGGGAGAGAGAGAGAGAGAGAGACATACATGTATACATATATATATATATATATATATATATCAAGAGAGAGAGAGAGAGCAAAGAAAGAGAGAGAGAGAGAGGGAGAGAAAGAAAAAACGTGGTGGAAGGTGAATGAAGGAAGAGATGAGGAGGAGGAGGAGGAGGAGGGGGAGGAGGAGGAGGAGGAGGAGGAGGAGGAGGGGGAGGAGGAGGAGGAGGAGGAGGTGGATCAGGAAGTGGAACGCAGAAGACGGAGGGCGGGACATGAGGAGCATGAGGAGGACGTGGAGGCGGTGGAAGGCGGAGGGGAGGGAGGAACATAAAAGGAAGAACCGTGATAATAGTAAGTTTTAGAGTAAGAAGAAGATTGCGGAGAATTCTATTCATATCAATCATATTGATAATAAGGGAAATCATAATAATGATGTGATTGCGAAAGAGAAACGAAGTAACTCATAATAGTGAGGTGGCTGCGGACAAATACGTCATAGTTTCAGTGGCAAGTATGAGGAGGAACAGAAGAACACACACTCATGAGAACGATGAGATTAAGAAGAGGAGCAACAAAGGGCTGTGAAGGAGGAGGTGGAAGCACGGAACGCGATCTTCTCGTGCACTCCACCCTTTCGCTCGAGGCCTTCAGGGCCTCGTTCGGAGGCGACTCGCCTTGGTGTTGGTGTTTCTTTCTTGGGGGGCGAGAGATGAAAGGGGGCCGTGTGCCGTTTTTTGAATCGGTTTTGGCATCGTGGAACATTTAGGAATAGAAATACATCAAACTTCAGTCCTCTCGATGCCGGGATGTACCGAGGAGGAAGAGGAGGAGGGAGAGAAGGAGGAGGAGAAGGAAGAGGAGGAGGAGGAGGAGGTGATGGAGGAGATGAAGGAGGAATGGCTCGGTGGCTCCGACGATCCGATGTTCCGAATCGCGCTGTGGCTGCAGCCGATCCGATTCGATTGCGGTTCGCCCGATCCGACGCACAGTCCGATTCGATGCTGATTGGTCTTGCCCTCCCTGGGCTCGAGCAGGGCACGGTTGGAGCCAGCCTCTTGGCATCAGTGCTGGCCACGTTGCGTGCCGCGGAAGCCAGTGGGCACGCCTTCATCCCTCCCTCCCTCCCTCCCTTCCTCCCTCCCTCCCTCCTCGTCCTCCTCCTCCTCCTTATCCTTCTCCTTCTCCTCCCTCCCTCCCTCCCTATCCTCCTCCTCTTCTTCCTCCTCCTCCTCCACTTCCTGAGGCTCACAGGAGGTGCGCGCGAGGGACACATGCCCACCCTGTAGTGACTGTAGTGAGGGGGCTACCAGAGCAGGCGCCGTCTTGTCAAGGTCTGTGGAGGGACAGCGCCAAGAACGGCATGCGCGCGGCAAGCGAGAAGGTACGTTGGGAGTGAGTTTCCTGGCTTGCTTTCTGGCAGCAGCGCTTGCAACGCGATGGCTGCCGGTCGCGAGCGGGCGGTTGGAGTGAGCTGCCCGGCAGGTTCTTCTGCATCAGTCGGACGGGGCTGGTACGAGGATAAGTCCGTTCCAGAGCTTTCCCGAACACTCTCAGAGCGTTCTGGAACGCTGCGAGAATGCCGCGGCGCCCGATTCTTCCTGCAGAGCCGCTGGATCTCAGAGGGTTTCGATCCATCTTCACCCAACATCGTGCTCGTCTTGGCTTTGTCTTAATCAGTGCTGGCAGTGCGGTGTGCGCCAGCAGCAAGAACGGTATGACATACATGTTGTCCGTCGCCGGGGGCGCCTGTCCCAGGGCGGTTGGGAAACTGGTGCCCGGACATGCCACCGTAGGGGTATACATTTTCCAGCCGCCCTGGGACAGGCGTCCCCGACGGGGAAAACTTTTAAAAAATACCGTTCTTCGCCCGCTAGAGTGGAAGGCCTCAGGCCTCTTGAGAATGTTTCTAATCGTTCCCCCAAGACGTAACCAACTTCTCAGAAGGCGCTATGGCTTCTGAAAAGTCACGCCGCCTAATGCTCCAGCAGCAAGTGGGCGCACTCGGAGTGATTTTCCTGGCAACGCCGCTGGCAACGCCCAGCTGCGACCAGGCACGTCTTTGGCGTGAGTTGCCCAGCACCAGAGTTGGCCATGTGATGTGCCCCGTACTCCCAGGGGGAGTTCAAGGCTATTCCCAGGGGGATTGGAAGGCTATGCGCCGGCCGTTAGAAGTAGGTATTTCTGGGGCTCCCACATCCCAATCGACTTCAAGCGCCTTCTTACTTCAAGAGTCGTTATGGTTTCGCTGTCGTTTGTTATTGTTTAGGTGTGCCCGAACCCAATCTACTTTAGCCGCCTTCCTACTTCATGTTTCTACCTACTTTTTCCGACTGGCCGGCACTCCTAGGGGGAGACCAGGCTTCTCCTAGGGAAAAGCTACTCGCAGGGGATTAGACGGCTTCTCCCAGGGGGAGTAGAAGGTTACCCCCAGGGTAAGTAGAAGGCTACTCCGAGGGGGAGTAGAAAGGCGACTCCCAGGGGGGGGGGCAGGCTGCTCGCGAGGGAAGTCGGCTACTCCCAGGGGGAGCAGAAGGCCAGTATTCGTGGGAAGCTGGGCGGCTGCGCACGGGAGGGGCAGGCGAGGCTCACGAGAGGTGCACGGGAGGGACACTAACCGAGGGGCAGCTCTGGAAGCAGGCAGCGAGAACCTCGCAGGAGGAAAGCCTGGTTCTAGGGAGTGGCAGGAGGACGAGGAGATAGGGCACGGCATGAGGATGTGGGCCAGGCTGAGGAGGCGCGGTAGGAGGAGGAGGGGAAGGAAGCGGAGGATGGATGCGTCGGGAGGATGGGTCGAGGAGGAGGAGGAGGAGGCTGAAGGAGGAGAAGGAGCAGGAGGAGGAGAAGGAACAAGGGTAGAACCAGGAGCGCAACGATATTTGTGATCTTGCTCATCTGAGGCAGGACATGGATGATACCGATGCCCGCGATAGTGAAGACTATAATCTTAATCGGTGATTGTGATGATGGCGACCATCATCATTAACAATACCCGGACATTGATGATCTGGTTATCACGGCGATGACGGTGGTGGTTGTGATGGCCGTGGACGTGATTGTAACGATGTTGACGACCAAGAGATTCGCTGTATTGTTGTTTGATAGCGGGCCCGACCTTTTCCCTGGAGCTGGGTTGCTTTTCATCCTACGTCATGGTTCATGGTTTCGGGGCTGGCGAGGGCCCTTGGTGGCCTAAAGCTGTAAACAGCTCGTACACTCCTCCGCCTTACAGGTTGGCGTTGCCAGACATAGAGAAGAGAGCTCCTGAAGCGCCTCGCATAATTACCCTGCGTGCCGCGGCCGCCAGGCCCAAATGGTCCCAGGGCTCCCTGGATATACCGCCCCCCGCATGCCGCGGCCGCCGGGGGATTGCTGGGCCACCTGTTGGGGATCCCGCCCCGCGTTCTCGCTTGGGGACCGATCGACACAGGATCTGTGTTTTATCGGGGACGGCCAAGAGGGGGGCTGATGACTAGGGGGGGTGGATATCATGGCGGGGGCCATGATATCTCCCCAGATGTCATGGCGCCTCTTCTTATTTCACTACGTCCCTGGGCCCCCCCCCTGGGCCGCGTACATGCCGTCGGCCATGATCTGCGCCCCCCCTCTTGGACGCCCCCCTCTTGGCCGCCCCCGATTCTATCATCGAGAACTTTCGCCACTGGTCAGCGCGTCGCGCCACCGCTCCTGGCCCGCCACGCTTCGGCGCCGGACGCTGACCGCGTCCAGGGCCTCGAGCGTCAGCGTCCCGAGCCTTTCCATGCCTCCTCGCCCTGCGGAGTGCAGCGTCCCGCTCTCCGCGTGCAGGACACCGCAGTCTGTCGCCAGGGCCGCCGCCGCGATACGCTGAGCAAAAGTTCCCGACTATATGTGCGTCCATACTCCGAGGCGGGAATGTATACATGACCACCGCCTGGAGGATCAATTTTCGGGTACCTCGGCAGGCGGTGGATATGGACATTTTCGGGCCCCCGAGGGCGGCCAAACTATATCCATATCCACCGCCCGCTGGGGCACCAGGACGTCGGTTCCCAAGCAGTGGATATGGACAAATCCCCGCCTCGCACATACGTTGGGGATTTGGGGCTTGTGATGGTGGCACGGATGATGGCGACGGGCTGGAGGAGCAGCAGCCGCAGGGAGACCAGTAGCCATCTGGGTGCGGGAAGCTCGTCTTCCCTCGGCTCTGTCCTCAGGCAGCCCGCGCATTGGCACGGCACACGTGGCGGTCCTCGATAGTTGATTCCAGGTGGCCTGCAGAAGGCTTGCCCCGAGTCCCAGGCTCAGGTCGGGAAGACCTGCGTGGACTCGAAGGGGATGCGCGGTGCCATGCAGCAAGGGGGAGAGGCTGCCCCGGCGGCGCCCTTGAACGGGGAGGAGGGAGGCAGCGGGGGGAGTCGTACCTAGGCCTGCTCGTCCGGTAGCGTACGGCTCTGCAGGCACTCCTCCTCCTTCTCCTCCTCCTCCTCCTCCTTTTCCTCCTCCTCCTCCTCCGCCTCCTCCTCCTCCTCCTCCTCCACCTCCTCCTCCTCCTCCTCCTCCTCCTCCTCCTCCTCCTCCTCCTCCTCCTCCTCCTCCTCCTCCCCCCCCCCTCCTCGAGAACGGCAGCAACCGCAGCGAGAGGCGGCTCAGGCCCTGCCGCCCCCCCGCGCGGCCCTCGGCGAGGGGGCCGCGGCGGCGGCCTGCGGCGGCGAGGCCGGGCGACCTGCCGCCGCGCCGCGGGCCCGATGCAGCAGCAGGAGCGCTACAGGGCGATGCGCGCCGCCGCGCAAGCGGACGCGGGCAAGGTCGAGGAGTGCGGCGGCATGGACGCGCTGGAGGACGTCGTAGTCGTCGTAGCAGCGCGCACAGGGGGGGGGGTGGCGCGAGGGGGCGAGAGGTTCCTAGAGCACGTGGGGTCCTCTCAGAAGGGCCCGCAGGCTTCCAGGAGGGTGTCTCAGAAGCCGGGAGTGTTTCTACGAAGGCCCCCTGCTTCTAAGAAGCCACACTGCTTTCTTAGGAGGCCGCCGCACTGGCGTCCCCCCCACTTGCACGCGCCGTCAATCGTACCTTGTTCAGCCGTCGCATTTGAGCAGGCGCTATGCTATGCTATGCTACGCTGCGCTATGCTATGCTATGCTATGCTATGCTATGCTAGGGCAATCATAGTGGATGCTGTGCTGCGCTATGCTATGATATGCTATGCTGCGCAATGCTATGCTGGCCTAGGCTAGGCTAGGCTATGCTATGCTATGCTATGCGGCGCTATGCTATGATGCGATATGCTATGCTATGCTATGCTATGCTATGCTATGCTATGCTATGCTATGCTATGCTATGCTATGCTATGCTATGCTATGCTATGCTATGTGTTTGCTATGCCTTCGCTTTTGCCTTCAGTTTTGCCTTTGCTTTGGCTTTTGCTTGGCACCCAGGGAGCGCAACTGGGGGAACCGCGCGTTTGTGTTTGCCTTTGCTGTTGCCTTTGCTTTGTTCCCAGGGGACTGGGGGAACCGCCCGGGGCGGTTTTCACTGCCCGGCCCCTTTAAGCCAACAGAGTAAGAACCCTTCTAGGCAGAGGCTAGGTAGGGAACAGAGTAAGAACCCTTCTAGGCAGAGCCTGGGTAGGGAATTAAAGCGACGACGCCGAAGAGGTCGCAGGTGTTCGCCAGGGCTTTCCAAGAGGGCAAGGGGCTTCTCAGAAGCCCTCCCAGCTTCTTCAGAGTTCCCCAACAAAATGACACATTCCGATGACTGAAGAAGAGACATCGGCATAAGCACGATTTGTTCGGAGTTCCGCTCATGCTTCTTGCATCTGCGCTGGACCCTCCTCTCCTGGCGGCGCATCCGTTGCCGTGACTTGGTGCGCTACGTGCGCAAGGGAGGGGGGGGGCCCAGCGACCATGATCCAAGAAATCCGCGCTGAGCTCTGGAAGTTTGCGTTCACCTCGATACCGCTTCCTCCAGGTGATCCCTGTGCACACACACACACGGGTTCGTTCGGGGACTGCCCCTCCCCCCTTCCTCACCCCGGCCCCTGCAAACACCAAAGGCACGATGCAAACACTGTCCACGCACGGAAGGTCAGTGCGATGCTGGTCGTGCTTCTGGAGCAGTGTGTTTCGGGAAGGCCAGCTCTCTGAAATATTGGTCTGGCCACAAACTTCCACGTACGGAACATGGCACGCGCGGAGCACGGTGAACAGAGCACGCGCACGTCAGTTTCTACGCCTCCTCCCCATCCGTCGTCCCTCCTGCTCCCCCTCCCTCAATTGTCCTCCTCCCTCCCCAGACATGCAGCGTCTAGACCTTTTCAGTATGGGGCCCGCGGAAGGCCCGACCCTTTCCCCAGGACGCGTTTCTTCATTCAAAGACCTGTTTCACGGCCCCGCGGCCCAGCGAGGGCCCCCAGAGGCTGAAATTGGCCAAGCATGCTCGGACGTGATCCTTTCGACGGCGCGGGCATGTCTGGGTCCCCCTCGCCTCCTCACTGCCCCCCCGCCTTGGGGAATCAGACGAAGACCCGGCTGCGCATCGGAGGTGGGGCCGTCGTGGGCGAAGACGCACACCTGTCTCCGCGGCCTCGCGGGCGAGGCCCCGTGGGGCGTGACCTCTCGGATACGCGGCGCTTGCTTGTTGTCGTCGGATGCCTCGCGCGGAGCGTACCCGCGTGACCGCTCATCTGCGGGAGCGCGCCCCGGAGTCCAGACCGCGAGGGCGCGGATATGGATACCCTCGTCGCGCCCGAGTGCTCAGGCCTCCTCTCCCCGCCTCTCTTCCTCCCCCGTGGGGTCAGGCGGCTGCCTGGCCGCGATGGAGGCGATTGCCCCTGGAGGAGCAGGGGGGAGGTGCAGGAGGAGGAGAAGGAGGACAAGGACGGACGGACGGGAAGGGACGGGCGCGGAGGGATGGACGGACGGCGGGTCTGCACCACGGAGCCGCAGCCGAAGCCGCCGCCTCCGAAAAGGAAAACCAGAAACAGAGAGGACTGCCTCTGGAACTTTAAGCGCGGCATCCCCGCACCGCTGCTCGCGGAGTCCTCGGACAGCGAGGAGGGCGAGGAGCGGGGGCGGGCGAAGAGTGGGGGCGAGGTTCCCCTCCGCGTCCCTCTCCTCCTCCTCCTCCTCCTCCTCCTCCTCCTCCTCGTCCTCCTCCTCCTCGTCCTCCTCCTCCTCCTCCTTATCCTCCTTCTCCTCGTCCTCGCCCTCCTCTTCCTCCTCCGCATCTTCAGTCGCCATTTTGGTTCAAGCTGCTAATTGTCTGGCTGAACCCCGGTACATGTCTGCTCATCGGCAGCATTCTATTGATTGGTTCGACGGGGCGCAGTTTGGCGACGCAGTCAACATGCCTGATGCCCCCCCCCTCCCGCCGCAAGAAGAAGACTGGCACACGGAAGCCGAGGGCGCTCTCCCCACCTGATGAAGTCCTTCAAGGCCGTGCCCCTCCCGTGATTGATGATGATGATAACGACGATGATGACGAGGATGAGGATGAGGATGAGGATGAGGATGAGTATGATGATGATGACGATGACGATGACGATGACGATGATGATGATGATGATGATGATGATGATGATGATGATGATGATGATGATGATGGTGACGATGATGATGATGACGATGATGATGATGATGATGATGATGATGATGATGATGATGATGATGATGATGATGATGATGACGATCGCTCTCGGTCTGATCGAGTGGCAGCGAATGCAATTGGAGATGATGACCAAGACGATTGGAATGATAATCACGTTTGGGAGCTCGTCTGTGCTTACTTCCGCGAGACCCTCGGCAAGTTCAAAGAAACGTGTGGAACAACGCTTACTACTTCCGCCAAAGACGCGGCAAAAACAGCGGTGGCACCTATCGAATGTTGCAATCAGGCAGCTCAGCGACGCCATCTCCACTGCCACAGCCAATGCAGCGGCTACAGCGCCGGCCAGCATCCGCCCAGAGCTTGACGACATCGAGAAACGACTCCAGAAGCAGATGGACGGCGTCAATTACAAGCTGGAAGAGCACTCCTGCAAGCTCCAGAAGCACAATGGCGTTCTGCTCGATCTACAGAATCAGATGCAGGAGATTCAGGAGGAGTTGGCTCTGGCTCAACGCGCTTCTCCGCCACCCACGCCCAATGACAGGACCTTCAAGCGCGACATCGACACCTCCATCCTCAAAGTCACCGCCTCCGATTTGGTGCGGAGGGGCAACGCCAGGAAGTCCCTGGAATCTTGGCTCTAATCTGCTGATTTGGAGGGTTCGTTCAAGGTCGAGTCAGCTGTCACTCGGCTGCAGGCGTGCGCCGGCGCTTCGGAAATCTTGCCTGCAGGGGCACGGCAGGTTCGCGCGGCGGCGGCCTCGGCGTAGGCGTTCACGGCTGAGCTCCGCGGGTGTTGTAGAGTCGGCCGATCGGACAGCCGCGATCGCTCAGCGGCATCCACCTAATCGAGGGTCGAGGCATCGAGGATCCACGAACGACGATCGAGGATCGACGAGCGAGGATCGAGGATCGACGGCGAGGATCGCGCTTCGCGCGTCGCGGCTGGGGCCGTTGGGCTGACCTTCTCCGCAGGTTGAACGATGCACGCGGTGGCAGAAGCCAGAGCACAAGTCGGCACGACACGAGCTTGCCGCGCAGTGGAGACGCGGAAGCGAGGAGCAGCTCGGGTTCGGAAAGGGGCTCGCTGTGCCTGAGCTCTTCCCTGTCTGGTTTGTTTCTCAGGCGCTCCTCGTGCACCCAGGCGCTTTCGGGGCCAATCGAGACGTTGTCCCTAGTGGTCAGGCAGGCCTCGTGTAAGGATAAGTTGGCCTATAGCGTTCTGGTACGCTCTCAGAGCGTTCTGAAACGGCCGTCTTCAGCGTCGCGGATCGCTCTGCAACGGCCGCGGCACACGATACATCCTCTAGGCCCGCTGGGTCTTGAATACTCTCGAATTCATCTCCAATCCATGCGCAGGGAGTCGCTGGGGGACCGTTCCTCATCAACCCACCTTCCTCATCACTCCTCCCTCCCCCTCCCTCCCTCCCCCCCTCCCTCCCTCCCTCCTCCTCCTCCTCCTCCTCCTCCTCCTCCTCCTCCTCCTCTGTCTCCTCTTCTCCTCCATCCCACCACCCGCCGTCCTCTATCTTCCTCCCTCCTGTGGAGCACGCGTGCGTCCGAGCGTCTCCTTCCGTTGTGTTGCACAGGCGTTGATCAGAGATCGCCGCGTCTGAGGACAGGCCACCTGAAAAACATACCATACCAACTTCGGCGATGAGCAGTGGCCTTAGTAATATCTCCTCCGTCTTCCTCCTCCTCCTCCTCCTCCTTCTCTTCCTCAACCTCATCATTCTCCTCCTCTTCCTCCTTGACCTCCTCCTCGACCTCCTCCTCCTCCTCTTCCCTCCTCTCATCCACCATCCTCTCCCCCTCCTCCTCCCTCATCTCCTATCCTCTCATCTCCTCTCCCCTCCCTTCCTCTCCCCTCCCTTTCCCTCCTCCTCCTCCTCCTCTTCCTGCTCCTCTTCCTCCACCTCTCCTCCTATCTTGTGGAAGGTATAGCGAGTGTACCCTCAGAGGCCTCCATCAACGTTGCCTCCAGTTTTGTTGTTGCACGTTTAGCCGATGTTCTTTGTCTCTACTTTGCAGCGGGCGACACCCTAAGAGCTCAAAGAGGAACCAAGTGGTGTACGAAGCTCCGATCCCAATCAGGCAAGCAACCCAAAGTGCGACAAAGTCGAACCCTTTCCGAAGCCGTGCAATGGATGGATCTCCTCCTCCTCATCATCGTCCTCAGCCTCCTATTCCTCCTCCTCTCTTTCCCTGAGATCCGATGCTACGAAGCAAATCAGCATCGCGACAAATCACAACCAGACCGATCGCTGCATCCTTCTCCATTTTCCTGCTGCACTGTTCGAGCCAGATCGACCCGTGATGGCCCTGGGGCCCGAAACCGAGCGAAATCGCACGCTGTGGAAAAATAGGAAAGGGCGCCAGTGGATCTCCCTGAATACACTAAAGGGGGGGGGGTCCGGAACATCCTCCCCCCCCCCTTGGCGCTGAAAGGGGGGGGGGGTTCGAACCCCCCCCCCCCTCCCCCCCTTTGCGCTGGGAAGGGAGCCGGAGAGGGGGTGCCTCTCTCGCTTCTCCTTTCTGCGCCAGGGAAGGTGTGTAGGGAGTACAGAGTTGGGAGTAGGGAGTGGTGAGTAGTGAGTAGGGAGTTAGTGCGTAGTGAGTGGTGAGTATTGGGTAGTGAGTAGTGGGTAGTGAATGGCGAGTAGGGAATAGGGGGTAGGGAGTGGGGAGTAGCGAGTAGTGAATAGTGAATAGTGTGTACTGATAAGTGAGTAGTGAGTGGCGAGTAGTGAGTAGTGAGTAGCGAGTAGTGAGTAGTGAGTACTGAGTAGGGAGTGGGGATTAATGAGTAGTGTGTAGCGAGTAGCGGGTGGCGAGTAGTCATTCGTGTGTAGTGAGTAGTGGGTAGTGGGTAGTGCGTAGTGAGTAGTGAGTAGTGAGTAGTGAGTAGTGAGTAGTGAGTAGTGAGTAGTGAGTAGTGAGTAGAGAGTAGCGAGTAGCGAGTAGCGAGTAGCGCGTAGGGAGTAGTGAGTACTGAGTAGTACATAGTGCGTAGTGAGTAGTGAGTAGTGAGTAGTGATGCATAGAGAGTAGTGGGTAGTGGCAGTGGGTAGTGTGCAGTGAGTAGGCGAGTAGGGGGTAGCGAGTAGTGAGTAGTGAGGAGCGAGTAGGGCGTAGTGAACAGTGAGTAGTCAGTAGTGAGTAGTGGGTAGTGATTCGTGAGTAACGACTAGGGAGTAGCGAGTAGCGAGTAGTGAGTAGGGAGTAGGGAGTAGTGAGCAGTCACTAGTAAGAAGTGGGTAGCGACTAGTGAGTAGTGAACAGTCGGTAGTGAGTAGTGACTAGTGACCTGTGACTACTGACTAGTGACTAGAGACGATGTAGTGACTAGCGAGTAGGGAGTAGTGAGTAGTGAGTAGTGAGTAGCGGGGAGTGAGTAGTGAGTATTGAGTAGCGAGTATGGGAGTAGCGAGTAGTGAGTACTGAGTTCTGTGTACTCAGTATTGTCTAGGGAGTAGCGAGTAGCGAGTAGTGGTTCAGTGAGTAGTGATTTATGGGATATAAGTAGTGAGTAGTGGATTAGTGGGTACTGGGGAATGAGTAGTGAATAGTGAGTAGTGAGTAGTGAGTAGGGAGCAGTGCTTACTGACAAGTGAGTATTGAGTAGTGGGTAGCGAGGAGTGAGTAGTGAGTAGTGAGTAGGGCTGAGGGAGTGGTGGGTAGGGAGTAGTGAGTAGCGAGTAGTGGGTGGTGGGTAGTGAGTAGTGGATAGTGAGTAGTGAGTCGTGAGTAGTGAGTAGGGTGCAGTGAGAAGTGAGCAACGAATAGCGAGTAGTCAGTACTGGGTAGTGAGTAATGAGTAGTGAGTACTCTTTGGGGCTGGGGTTAGTGGTTGGGATTAGGGTTAGGGGTTCGGGTTAGGGTGAGGACTAGGGCTAGGGGTGGCGGGGGTCGGGTTCCGGGCGGCGTGGCGAAAGGGGGGGGGGGCGGCCAAAGGGGGGGAGGGGGGGGGGGGGTCGGATCCCCCCCCCCCTTTTGAAAGGGGGGGGGGAAGGGGGGGGTTCCCCGACGACGGATTGGGGAAAGGGGGGAGGGGGGGGGGTCCCGGACGACGGATCGGGGAAAAAGGGCAGGGGGGGGTCCCCGACGACGGATGGGGGAAGGGGGGGGGGGGGTCCCCTCTCTCCCCCCCTGGGGAGATCCAGCGGCGCACCCTCGAAAAATAGCAGCGCCTGGATTTCAGGGTTTCCTCTCTCCTTCCCTCCGAAGATGTCCCATGCCTTGATATTTCCATAAGCGGGCCCCAGAAGTCCCGACCCGTTTTCATCCCGAGGCGTTGTTTCGCGGTCCCGCGGCCTAGCGAGGACCCCAGGAGGCCGAGAATAGCAACAACAACAACAACAACAACAACAACAGCAACAGCAACAGCAACAGCAACAGCAACAACAACACTTACAACAAGAACAACAACAACCACAACAACAACAACAACAACAACAAGAACCCCTCGTCGTGATCTGTTCACGACGCGAGCATGTCCGGGATCCTCCCCTCTCCTGTGCGGGCAAGACTTGCTGCAGCTTGGAGTTTCGGTCTCCCTTCCCCAGAACCCCGAGGCGCACTGGACATGGATAAGCATCTGGCCCTTATAGAGGTTCGAGGCCTGTCCATATCCAGCGCGCCTCGGCCTTGCGGCGCCCCTTCCAAGGAAGTCCAAGACGCACTGGATATGGATATGCCTACTGCCCCCCTCCGAGGCCCCCCGTCCCACAGGAGCGCGCTGGACCTTCCGCGGGCGCCCCGCAAGGTGCGGCGGCGGCCGCCGCGGCGGGCGCCGCGGAGGGCAGGAGCGCTGCGTGGCTCGCGCGGCCGGCCGCCGCTGCCGCCTGTGCGGCGCTGGCGCTGGCGCTCCGGACCGAAGCTGCGAGCCTCGGGCTCGCCGTTCGCGCTCGTCGCTCCAGGGTTCCCCGCTCGTCGCTCGAGCTCGTCGCTGGAGCTCGCCGTTCGAGCTCGTCGTTCGCGCTCGTCGGTCGAGCTCGTCGTTCGAGCTCGTCGTTCGCGCTCGTCGTTCCAGGGTTCCGGACGTGGTGGGGGTTTCCCGCCTCGGGGCTCTCCTGCAGCAGCTGCGCCTCGCCGAGGGCGTTTCGGGGATGCCCGGATCGCCCCGAACGGCCGCCAGAGACCCGAGCTGCGGCCCGAAAACTGACATCTTCTCGTCGTGCACAAATCGCGACGGTCGGTTTTTGCCTGCTTTCAGCCTCTGAGTGGTTTCTCCGCGCCCCAGGGCCGTCGAATAATCCATTCGAACGAGAAGCTGGTCCTGGGGAGTGGGTCGAGACGTTGTGAAGCAATCACGACGTGGGGGGTCTAGGAAGCTCGAGGTTCCCAGACTGCTTCGTCGGTCTGCGAAGAGTTCCAGCCTCGGGGTGCGTTCCAGCAGCTGCGCCTCGCCAAGAGCGCTCTGGGGGTGCCCCGATTGACCCAAACGGTCGCCGGAAACCCGAGTTATGGCACGAAAATTGGCACCCTCGCGTCGCGCAAGAATCACGACGGCCAGTTTTGGATTGCTTTCGGCCTTCTGGAGGTCCACGTTGAAAAACGCTCACGACGTGTGGGGTCCTGGATGCTCCAGGTTTCCGGACACGTGCGTCGGTTCACAGAGGTTTTCCAGCCTCGGGGTACGTTCCAGCAGCTGCGCCTCGCCGAGAGCGTTCTGGGCGTGCCAGCGAGTCGTCCCGAGCGGCCAGCGGAGGACCGAATTGTTCGACCCGAAGGCCACCGATCGTCCGGGACCTCCACCCGGTGCGGTCGAGATGTGCTCCAGAACGGGCCTCGCCTGCGGCGCATCCGAGCCTTCGGCGGAGGGGGCGGCGGAAGAACAGTGGCGGCGGGACCGCCGGTGGAAGCCGGCGGGAGGTTGCTGAAAGCGGGCGACGTAAATTGAGTCGCCCACAAATCGCCCGATATTGCATGTCTAACTTGGTTATGGGAAAAATACACTCAGACATCTATATTTACATCAACATATATACATACACATATATATATATATATATATATATATGTATATATAGTTGTATATATACATATATATATATACATATATATATATGTATATGTATATATATATATATATACACATTCCTTATCCTTAGTACATGACACGGAAAAACCCACAAGGGGTGGGGCACACCTAATTCCAGGGTCTCCGGGGGCACCGGCGGAGACCCCGAAGGAGTCTTTCAGGGCATCCCCCGGACCGTCCAAATACCTCACGAACGCTCCCAAGGCGCCTTAAGATATCTCCAAGGTGGCTCAAGAGCGCACTTAGACGGCCCCAAGACTGCCCCAGAGCGCTCCAAGAGGGCCCCTGACGGCTTCTAGACGGCCACAGAGGCCTTCAAGACGGCCCAAGAAGCCCCCCAGAGACCCTCAAGACGCAAAAATCGTCCCATTCCCTGCGGAAAACGTATACTTTTAAACTATTCGCTTCCTCGGTCTTCAACGCGTCCAAGGCGGCCCAAGAGGCCCCCAAGGTCGCCCCAAGACGGCCCAGACGCCCCCAAGAGGGCGCCAAGACGGCCCGAGAGAGCTCCAAGACGGCCCAACAGAGCCCCAAGACGGCCCGAGAAGGGCCCCAGAGGGTCCCAAAAGAGCCCCCGGGGAGCCCCAAGAGAGCCAAAGGAGGCCCCCCTGACGGCCCAAGGAAGCCCTAAGAGGGCTCCAAGACGGCCCGAGCCCCCCCAGACGGTCCAAGAGGGCCCCTGGAGGCCCAAGAATGCCCCCATCCAGCCCAGAAGAGCCCAAAAAGGACCCCAAAAAAGGCCCAGGAAACGCCCAGAGATTCCCAAAATGCTTTCAAAAAGCTCCAGGAGGCTTCCCAACAAATCCCATGAAGCGTATGGAAGGTCTCGCGTCTACGTCCTGCACGGCGTTCCCAGAAAGGCTTCAGGAGGCCCCCGATTCACGATCCATCTAAGGGCTTCCAGAAGCCCAACAAAAGCACTCCGCGTGGCACCGAGAGGCACCCAAGACGCCCCGACCTCACGATCCAAGTCAGGGGTGTGCCGCCATGGGCGGGGCGGCGGGATGCGCACGAGGAGGGAGCAGGACGAGGCGGAGTAAGAGGGGCAGGAGGGTTCGCAGCAGGAAAAGGAACATAATTATCACTACTACGGGGAGGACCGGAGTGCCAGCCACCAGGGACCCCGCATACATACACGACCTCGCAGAGCACCCCAAAGACTTCCCATACATACACTGATAAATACCGGAGTGCCAGCTACCAGGTCCCCGCCTTTTCGATGACCGCCAACAAGCCCCTGGCAGCATAGGACCACCATGCATGAACCCCGGGGACCCCGCATATACACACGTACATACATACGAGCTGTGGGGCAATTTTGGGGCCATCTTCAGGCCTCGGGGACCCTCGGGGGTGAAAAGGCGAGAAGCAACAAACACTGATTTCCTTCAGGCGTTCGGACCATTTTGGCCTCTTCTGCCCCTCCTTTGGGAAAGCATACTCGCTAAGCGGCACCGCCCTCGCCAGCCTGTCGTATGCGTCACTATCATTTCCGTCGCATCCCCTCTCCTTCGTAGTCGTCTAGGCTCAGACGGCTCATGTTCTCTGGCTTCCGCAAGCTTGCTTCTGGAGCA